AAGATCAAAAACGCCATCATTCTAGGGAGGCCTTTCTTAGCTTCAGCTGGAGCAGTGTTTGATGCCAAGGAGTGCACAATAGAGCTGAGACTTACCAAAGAGAAGGTTTTGAGGTTTGACTCCAAAGGGAATAAGCTAGAAAAAGAGCAGGCCTTCTCAATGGAGATCAAGAAGTTGAAGAAAGCTGAAAAGCATTGGCCTAAGTTTGAAGGCTATGTTGGTGCAAGATTTGATGGTTGCTGCTTAACCAAGTTGTTTGATGATACCACTGAAGAGGAGGTCCTCAAAGTGGGTGTTTCTGATTGCATGAATGAAATTCTGTTGGGTAACAAAGAAGATGGGGTTGTCTCGAAGCCCTTTGTTTCTAAGTATGGTGAAGTCCACTACAAGATGAAGGGGGAGGCAAGCCAAAGCCCTTTGCTGTGTTGAAGATAGATGGGGTCACCAGAAAGATCAAAGAGGACACTGCAGCACCCAAGGAGTTCGAAGACTGTGTGGGCTGGATTTTACACAATAGAATTTGTAAGTTAAAAATAAAAGAGGATGTAAAGATTTTAAGGTAAACACGAGAGAACAAGGATCCAAAGATGGTGATTTTATTATTGCCCCTTAGATAAGCATTTGGTACAAGTATTTTGCTAAGTCTTTTGCTAGGTCAAAAGATGTCTCGCGCTAACGAGTTAAACTCTCTATTTATATAACTTCTAGTCGTAATCTAAAAAAAGATCTTGGAGTATATTAGCGTAGATAATCCTTCCTTCTCCCCTTCGCGGCGCCCCCTTCCTCAAGGCTACGTCTTCTAGGGTAAACACCGCTTCATACTTCTTCGTGGATTTGGGCTCGGCCCACTTGCACATCGCCTTGTCTTGGGTTTGTCTAGGGGCTTCGCCTTATTGCTTCGTGGGCCTTCGCCTTTGGGCTTGATTCGAAATTTTCTTCACTCGTGTGCGGTTTGGGCGAGGTGATTGGCTTCGCCCGGGTTTTGCACGGTTCACCTCGCCCGTGCACGGTTTGGGAGGGATGATTGGCTTCGCCCGGGTTTTGCACGGTTCACCTCGCTCGTGCACGGTTTGGGCGAGGTGATTGGCTTCGCCCGGGTTTTGCACGGTTCACCTTGCCCATGCACGGTTTGGACGAGGTGATTGGCTTCGCCCGGGTTTTGCACGGTTCACCTCGCCTGTGCACGGTTTTGGCGAGGTGATTGGCTTCGCCCGGGGGGGGAAACTCAAGCTGCTGTTCTCCCTACCTACCAGCCCAATATCCTTTTTCCAGGAAGGTTCAAAGAGCAGCTAGTACAGAAGTATGAGACTCTCTATGCTTCTCAAATGGAAATGAGAGGTCTGAATGGTCAAGAGGAGCTTGAGAAACTAATAGCTAAAGCTGGAGCATCTGAACTTAAGGAGCTTAACATCAAGAAGCTTGGAGATCCAGGTTGTTTCACTCTGCCATGTGAGCTTAAAGGGCAGACCTTCAAAAGCTGTCTTTGTGATCTTGGAGCCAGCATGAACCTTCTCCCATCCTCTACTGCTAAGGCTCTTGGCTACACTCAACTTCAAGAGAGTAATGTGTCTCTTACCATAGCTGATGGGACAGTAAAGACACCACTTGGGACTCTCAAAGATGTACCAATGATGATAGAAGGAGTAGTCATACCAACAGATTTCTTTGTCCTAGATGTTAAAGGAAAGATCAAAAACGCCATCATTCTAGGGAGGCCTTTCTTAGCTTCAGCTGGAGCATTGTTTGATGCCAAGGAGTGCACAATAGAGCTGAGACTTACCAAAGAGAAGGTTCTGAGGTTTGACTCCAAAGGGAATAAGCTAGAAAAAGAGCAGGCCTTCTCAATGGAGATCAAGAAGTTGAAGAAAGTTGGAAAGCATTAGCCTAAGTTTGAAGGCTATGTTGGTGCAAGTTTTGATGGTTGCTGCTTAACCAAGTTGTTTGATGATACCACTGAAGAGGAGGTCCTCAAAGTGGGTGTTTCTGATTGCATGAATGAAATTCTGTTGGGTAACAAAGAAGATGAGGTTGTCTCGAAGCCCTTTGTTTCTAAGTATGGTGAAGTCCAGTACAAGATGAAGGGGGAGGCAAGCCAAAGCCCTTTGCTGTGTTGAAGATAGATGGGGTCACCAGAAAGATCAAAGAGGACACTGCAGCACCAAGGAGTTCGAAGACTGTGTGGGCTGGATTTTACACAATAGAATTTGTAAGTTAAAAATAAAAGAGGATGTAAAGATTTTAAGGTAAACACGAGAGAACAAGGATCCAAAGATGGTGATTTTATTATTGCCCCTTAGATAAGCATTTGGTACAAGTATTTTGCTAAGTCTTTTGCTAGGTCAAAAGATGTCTCGCGCTAACGAGTTAAACTCTCTATTTATATAACTTCTAGTCGTAATCTAAAAAAAGATCTTGGAGTATATTTGTGTAGATAATCCTTCCTTCTCCCCTTCGCGGCGCCCCCTTCCTCAAGGCTTCGTCTTCTAGGGTAAACACCGCTTCATACTTCTTCGTGGAATTGGGCTCGGCCCACTTGCACATCGCCTTGTCTTGGGTTTGTTTAGGGGCTTCGCCTTATTGCTTCGTGGGCCTTTGCCTTTGGGCTTGATTCGAAGTTTTCTTCACTCGTGCGCGGTTTGGGCGAGGTGATTGGCTTCGCCCGGGTTTTGCACGGTTCACCTCGCCCGTGCACGGTTTGGGAGCGGTGATTGGCTTCGCCCGGGCTTTGCACGGTTCACCTCGCCCGTGCACGGTTTTGGCGAGGTGATTGGCTTCGCCCGGGTTTTGCACGGTTCACCTTGCCCATGCACGGTTTGGGCGAGGTGACTGGCTTCGCCCGGGTTTTGCACGGTTCACCTCGCCTGTGCACGGTTTGGGCAAGGTGATTGGCTTCGCCCGGCGATATTGGTTTCTGAAGTTCTCCACTACTCTTACTGGTCTGGGATTCGTTCAAACCCATGGTGATCACACATGCTTTCTCAAAGTCACCAATACTCTGTTTCTTTGCGTTCTCGTCTACGTCGATGATATCGTCATTGCTAGCAACAATGATTCAGAGGTTGACTTGTTGAAGACTCAACTCAAGTCTCACTTTAAGCTGTGTGATCTTGGTGCTTTGAAATATTTTCTCGGTTTAGAGATTGCTCGTTCTTCCGAGGGGATTCATGTCTGTCAGCGAAAATATGCCTTAGATTTGCTTGATGAAACGGGTTTACTTGACTGCAAACCATCAAGCATTCCCATGGATCCTCATGTGAAGTTCTCGAAGGACAGTGGAGGAGATTTGGTTGATGCTGAAGCATACAGACGTCTCATTGGTCGCCTGATGTATTTGCAGATTACTCGTCCCGATATCACCTTTGCCGTGAATAAACTCAGCCAATTCTCTGCTGCTCCACGACAAGCTCATCAACATGCTATCATGAAAATCCTACAATATATCAAGGGTACTGTTGGTCAAGGCTTGTTTTACTCTGCAAATTCTGAACTACAGCTTCAAGTTTTTGCGGATGCTGACTGGGCTTCATGTCAAGACACACGACGCTCCACCTCTGGCTACTGCATCTTCTTAGGTACTTCTCTCATCTCTTAGAAGTCCAAGAAGCAATAGGTGGTGTCGAAAAGCTCAGCTGAAGCTGAATATCGTAGTCTCTCATTTGTCTCTGATGAAGTGGTATGGCTTACGAATTTCCTGCATGAATTACATGTTCATCTTACCAAGCCTACTTTACTCTTCTGTGACAATACTGCTGCGATCCACATTGCTCACAACCCTGTCTTCCACGAACGCACCAAACATATTGAATCAGATTGTCATAGTGTTCGTGAACGAATGGTAGCTGGTTTCTTTAAACTGTTACATGTGAGGACTGATTTGCAGCTTGCGGATCCTTTCACCAAGCCTCTGTATCCTGCACCATTCCAGAAGCTTATTGGCAAGATGGGTCTCCTGAACATCTTCGTCCCATCTTGAGGGGGATTATTATTGTATATAGTCTTCATATTGGTTCATTTTGTATAGTGTTGGTTTAATACTGGTTTATGGTTCTGGTTTAGGTCTATTCGGATTGTATATAAACTCACAGTTGTACACATTTTACTAATTAATGAGAAATGAATTATCAACTAATAGAAGGCAAGTATTCTGGTTGTTTATACCACGAACAAACATGAAGCACCCATCAATCTTTTCAATAAACTGATCCTAGCTAATTGGTCGAAAACACTTTGGTAGAATATTTTACCGGAAAGAGAAAAAGAATAGAACGCAGATATTTAAATATTGCACTTAATCGATGATTAATTCGTTCGAGAAACTAATGGAGTCCTAGGTGTTATTACTTTATATTATCTTCACATGTAACGTGCCTATTTAACGAGAATATGATTCCTTAAGATTCATGCATAAACACAAATCAAATCCGGGAATTTAAATTGGATCATGGAACGTTATATATACGGACCACATACTTAGAAATATTAATTTTAAAAGGTTTCAATTCCAATATGCAAAGAAAACTAAACTACAAATATAAAATAATATTTTTCTAATAACAAAAACGCTGCTGTCTAATCAATTTAGGAAAAATACATTTTAAAATACAGAGAAACGAATTATTGAAGTGGAAAATTCACAGACCATTCAGGTTTTGATTGAATGAAAGATTCGATTATCTTTTTAGTGTCAACTCTCCAACAAAAGCAAAACCTTAAAAAAACACTTTCTTTTTTCCTCAAGAAGACATTAAAAAAATCGAACAAAAGCAAGACCCCAACACGGTTTCACATGAATCCCAATTCGTTTGCAAAGCAAAACTAAAGAAAAGGTCTTTTTGAAATTATTGAAGAAAATAGAAAAGAAGAGAAGAAGATCCAATCTATTCATTTGATGGGGTTTGGGTAAGAGATTTCGAGAGAGAGAGAGAGAGAGTGTGTGTGTCTGTGAAAAGTTGAGAACTTTTTCTTTTGGTTAGAGAGAGAAAGCGCAGAGCTTTACGAAGATGGAGGCGAAGCAGATGAGGTTTCTTACTCACCAAGCTTTCTTCTCCTCCGTTCGATCAGCTGACCTCAACCAACTGGAAGAATTAGTCGATAAGTTAACCGGAGATGAGCTAATTGAGGAGTCATCGCCGTCTGCTGCGGTGGCTGAGCTTATGTCTGTGCAAAACGACGCCGGAGAAACCGCCTTGTATATCGCCGCCGCGGAGAATCTGGAAGAGATTTTCAGTTACTTGATTAGGTTTTGTAGTTTGGAAACAGTGAAGATCAGATCCAAATCCGACATGAACGCGTTTCACATCGCCGCCAAACGAGGACACTTGGGTATGTCTCTCTCCTTCTCTCTGTCTCCAATTTCCCAGTTTCTGCTTTGCTGATTTTGGATTGGATTATCCAAATTATGAAACTGAATTTCGATCTTCACTCTTCATATTATCCAAAATTTCTGCAAATTTAAATTTCACCGAGTTATAAAGCTGCTGACTTCAAATCTGTAGACTTTCGCACTCTGATTTCTAGGAAAGTGAATCTGTAATTGTTGAAAACACCAATCTTCGATGTAACTTCTGAGTGCATCTTGAACACTAGAATTCAAACTTCAAACCTGTTTGTATTCAAATTTCTGTAACTTGGATATTGCTGGCTTTAAACTTTGACCCTTTGGCTCTAATTATGATTTCTTGAAATGGTTTTGAAACTTTTCCGTCTTTAAATCTCTCTACAGGGATAGTGAAGGAGCTACTGAGTCTATGGCCGGAGCTCTGCAGAATCTGCGACGCTTCAAACACGAGCCCGCTTTACGCAGCCGCGGTTCAAGATCACTTAGAGATAGTAAACGCGATGCTAGACGCTGACCCGAGCTGCGCGATGGTCGTTCGAAAGAACGGGAAAACATCGCTGCACACGGCGGGAAGGTACGGTCTGCTTCGGATTGTGAGAGCTCTTATAGAGAAAGACTCAGCCATCGTCGGTGTCAAAGACAAGAAAGGCCAAACAGCTCTTCACATGGCAGTAAAAGGACAAAACGTTGAAGTAGTCGAAGAGATTTTGCAGGCAGATTACGGTATATTGAACGATAGAGATCGTAAAGGGAACACCGCGTTGCATATCGCTACTCGAAAATCGCGGCCACAGGTTTTAATATTTATAGTTACACCGCTCTTTTTTTTTCGTTTGTTGAACCGCTCTTTTTCCCGTTTGTTAATGTTCGTTGTTTTTGTTTTTAGATAACGAGCTTGTTGCTGACGTTTACGGCGATTGAAGTGAACGCGGTTAACAACCAGAAAGAAACCGCGATGGATTTGGCGGATAAGCTTCAATACAGCGAATCAGCTTTGGAGATCAACGAGGCGGATAAGCTTCAATACAGCGAATCAGCTTTGGAGATCAACGAGGCTTTAGTGGAAGCCAATCATGACGTCTTGTGCGGTTTGGGCAAGGTGATTGGCTTTGTCCGGCGATTGCACGGCTCACCTCGCCCATACACGGTTTGGGCGAGGTGATTGGCTTCGTCCGGGTTTTGCACGGTTCACCTTGCCCGTGCACGGTTTGGGCGAGGTGATTGGCTTCGCCCGGGTTTTGCACTGTTCACCTCGTCCGTGCACGATTTGGGCAAGGTGATTGGCTTCGCCCGGTGATTGCACGGCTCACCTTGCCGTACACGGTTTGGGCGTGGTGATTGGCTTCGCACGGGTTTTGCACGGTTCACCTCGTCCGTGCACGGTTTGGGCGAGGTGATTGGCTTCGTCCGGATTATGCACGGTTCACCTCGCCCATGCACGGTTTGGGCGAGGTGATTGGCTTCCCCGGGTTTTGCACGGTTCACCTTGTCTATGCACGGTTTGGGCGAGGTGACTGGCTTCGTCCGGGTTTTGCACGGTTCACCTCGCCTGTGCACGGTTTCGGCGAGGTGATTGGCTTCGCCCGTCGAATTGCACGGCTCACCTCGCCCGTACACGGTTTGGGCAAGGTGATTGGCTTCGCCCGGGTTTTGCACGGTTCACCTCGTCCGTGCACGGTTTGGGCGAGGTGATTGGCTTCGCCCGGGTTTTGCACTGTTCACCTCGCCCGTGCACGGTTTGAGCAAGGTGATTGGCTTCGCCCGGTGATTGCATGGCTCACCTCGCCATACACGGTTTAGGCGTGGTGATTGGCTTCGCCCGGATTTTGCACGGTTCACCTCGTCCGTGCACGGTTTGGGCGAGGTGATTGGCTTCGCCCGGATTTTGCACGGTTCACCTCGCCGTGCACGGTCTGAGCGAGGTGATTGGCTTCGCCCGTGTTTTGCACTGTTTGGGCGAGGTGACTAGCTTCGCCTGAGTTTTGCACGGTTTACCTCGCCCGTGCACGGTTAGGGCGAGGTGACCGGCTTTGCCCGTGCAAAGTCTAGGCATCACCAAGAATCACTTCTATACTTAGCCATTTTCCCGTTGATCTCGCTAGGGTGAAAACCGACCCCAACAGTTAGCCCCCCAGCTCGTTAGACTCAGAGATGAGGGTGACGAGGTGTCAAGAGAGGCGAGATTGATTGTCAAGAGTTTTTGCTTCGCCAGGATGAGATGATTTGTTCTGGCAGGACAAGGCGAAAAAGTTTTACTTCCTCTCGCCGGGATGGGGCCGAGTTGCTTTGTTTCTCCTCACATGGGCGAGGTGAGAATGCTTTGCTTTGTCTTGTTGGGACGAGGCCAAAAAGGCCTGGTTTCTCCTTGCCTGGGCGAGGTGAAAATGCACTACTTCGCCTTGCCGGGTTAAGGCCAAAAGGCTTTGTTTCTCCTCGCCTGGGCGAGGTGAAAATGCCTTGCTTCACCTCGCCGGGACGAAGCCAAATTGCTTTGCTTTTCCTCGCTGGGATGAGGTGACGTTCTGCGTGGGCGAAGTGATCCTATTTGTGGACGAGGCGGAGTGTCTTGTTATCTAGGCGAGGTTCGGTGATTAGTTTCGTCGGCGAAGTGTCTAGCTCCATCAGGCGATGTGTTTCACCTCGCCCTCACTTCGCCAAGATATAGTGTTTTGGCCTCGCCATATCTTCTCCCATACTTAGAATTTTTTTAATACATCGTCTCATGGGCTTCTTATTGGGCCTGAACTTCTGGTCTTTTCGGGCCTAAAAATCCCGTTTATAAATCAATCTACCTCGGAGACTGTAACCGTTTCGCATACTCCCGAGGCGAGGTGTTGAAGTGGCTATAAGTAGCGAGGCCTCTCCCTATTTTTTTATTATCTCCAACTTCCACAGATTTTCAAGGTTTGTTTTCTCTCTTCTTTCCCTCCTTTTTTATGTTAGATTTCCGATTAGGGTTTTTCTCGTCTTGGCCGTTCCGCCGCCGTCAGCCTTAAATACCCTGGTCCGTCTTTGATCTTTCACTAAAACATCATGACTCTTTCTTCCTCTTCTGGATCCGAGGCGAGTTCTCGGGGAGATATCAACGTGTTGTCGTACCGCGGCGAAGCGAGATCTTGAGGCGGTTTGAGCAAATCATCTTGTCGAGGCGAGTTGAATTCTTGTGGCGAGGTCGGCGTGATGTCGTGCTGCGATAAAGCGAGATCTCGCAGTGGGTCGAGGGAATCATCTCGCTGGAGCGAGGAGAATTTCAATGGCGAGGCTAGCGTGCCGTCGCGCCATGACGAAGCGAAGTCTCTTGGTGAGTCGAGTGCATCGTCACATCGAGGCGATGTTGACTCGAATCTCGATGATTTGGTTGGTCGTAGAGTCGCTTACTCTCGGTGTAGCGGGTCAGGTGAAGCATCCGAAGCGGGGTCCGAGGGCGACGCTCCAATCGTCGAGGAGGAGAATGCAAACTCCTTAATCGAAAATCCTTCTCAAGCTGTCGGGGTAGTGGAGGTAAAACCCGAAGAAGAGGATTGGAACTGGTACCCATCCGTGGCGAGGAGAGTTCTTGCAGAGATGATGAAACTTCATAAGGAGCAACAGCCGAAAGTGAAGAGGGTGAAGAGGAAAATTGCTGATCCGCCAGGGTCTACGCTCTCGACTGTTGAGAGTTTAATGGATCTAAGGGCTCGCTTTAATATTAGTGAGGAGGTGGGATTCCTGCTACCTACTTCGGCGGAACGAGCTGACCATCCACCTCCCGGGCACTTTACAGTTTACGAGAGTTTTTTCCACTTTTGCCTTCTCTGGTTTCCCATCCCAGAAGTTATTTGTCAGTATCTATGGAAGTACAAGCTCGCCCTAGCCCAGATTACACCTCGAGGCCTTCGCCATCTTGTTGGTCGTGTCGTTCTCAGCTACGAGTGCGAGGTCGAGCTTACTATTGGTCTTCTTCTGAACTTATTGGATATTCGTAGGAATCCAAAATCTGACATGTACTGCATCGGTAACAAAATAGATTGGCGAATTATCCATGGGTTTCCTAGTAATGACATAGACTGGAAGAGCCGTTTCTTTTTTGTTTCGATAAATGATGCTTCAGTGCCCGCGGGATGTCTCGAGAAGATCAAGACGGACTGAAGGCGAATCGGTAGCGGATCTTTGCCAAACTTAGGGATTTTGTACCCGAGTCGATGTGAGTATCGATACTAACAATTGTTTTTTTTTTTTTTTTTTGCAGAGCGTCAGATCGTGCTAAGGATTCCCGAAGGTTTTCTCGACTCGATCAAGCTTTTTTGCCAGAAAAGGACTTATTGGACGAGGAGTTTCACGTTGCAAAGGGTTGAACGTGCTCGAGCTTTCAACCTCGGGATCGATATAGATTACTCTGAATCTTCTCATTCATCCGACGTCGATCCGATTTACAAGCTGGTGGCCAAAATGACTCTTCGCGACAAAAAGGCAATGGAAGCCAAGAAGCGAGCGGGAGAAAAGGAGAAAGAACCAGTTAGGTCGAAGGAGGCGAGCCCTAGAGTTTCGGGCGAGGCAAATGCAAACTCCAAGATCTTGGGCGAGGTGGACACTGGTTCTAAGAATTCGGGCGAGGCGAGGCCAAGGGCACCCAAAGTTTCCTCCGAGATCGTCGCAGGTTTGAAATCTTCCCAGCGACCCGAGGGATCCTCTTTGTCTCGTCATGTGGAGAAATCAAAGGTGACTCCTCGAGCCGATGGAGGTGAAGTGGACAAAAAGGGTTCGAAACGCGTCGCGTCAAGGGACGATAAGGTGGGCGACGCAACTGTTTCGAAGAAGAAGGCGAAGAAGGATCCTCTTTTTTCTGCGTCTGTTCCCGATGCGAATCTTGCCATAGCCGCTTCGGATGCGTCTGCTGATAAGGCTGCGGCGTCCGTGACGCTCTTCTCTAAGATCACTCGTCCAGGAGATCGTCTTCCCGCACCAGATACTCTTGCTTTGAGCAAGAAGTACGCGAAGATGGCACTCAAAGGAGTCAAGGTAATTGTCTTTTGTCTCCGCTACTCTTGTGATACGTGTGTATATATATATATTTTTTTTTAACTAAGAGCTTGTGATCATGTTTCAGTTTATCGAGGCAGCGAACGAGGTGATCGCGGGCTATGAACGAGATGCTCGGGAGGATTTGCAACGTATCCAGGAGGCTCGCGGCGATGCCGTTGATCTCAAGGCTAGTCTCGACGAGGCCAAGCTAAAACATTCCACTGAACTGGAAAAGTTCGCAACTCAGGATGAAGAAGCTTGAGGACGAGAGGGACGAATTCACGATAAAGTGCGACGAAGCCGAGGCCCTTGCTGTTCGTCTCAACGAGCAGAAGCTCAGACGCGAGTCAGACATCGCTTCTCTCAAGCGACAGCTCGAGGCCGAGAGAGAGCTGCACGAGGTTGAGGCCAGGAAAGCGCGTAAGGAGGCGAGGAGAGAACTAGGCCAGAAGTTCCAGAATCGCATTCGCCAAGCGGAGGAGAAGATCGAGAAGCCAAAGGGGTCTGCCCGTACGAGGGTTGTTGATCTTGCGTAGGTCGAGGGGAATCTTCAGCTCGACGAGCTTCTAATGGGCGAGGACCCTCCTTCTCTGGATGCAGAGTTGGCGACTCTGACCGGATGGAAAGAGGAGCTTGTCGATGCTGACGCAGAGTTCGAGCGTCTTGCGACTCACCTGCGAGAGGATCTGAAGCTTTCTCTGGTTTCCAGCGATTCTGTCCCACCCTTCTTCGCTAATGAATCGATGGAAGTTATGGCTTCGAAGGCTGGCGTGGAAGATCCCGCAAGGCCGAACGTTGATACTCCTAGGATTGACGAGTTGGTTGCTGAGAAGGGTTCTCAGTAGGACGTGTCGAAGGTATCCGAGATCGCCGAGGGTTCCGAGGCTGTAGTTTAGAAAATGCCTTCGAATGTTTATGCTTTGATTTGGTTTTTATTTGACTTTTTGTTGTTGCGCATCCATGCATCGGATGTGCTTTTTTGTTTCGAACTAGGAGCCTGGTTGGCTTTATCCGCTTAGAATTTATTCTATGGATATTATATAACATTGCACTTTGTTATCGAGCCGAGGCGTGATCATTCTGCTTTGGATTATGACGAAGCGAAGTGCTTAAGTCATAAACTCGACCATGTCTAGTTTTCCATGTAAGTTTCCGAGTCGTCCTTCTCTATAGGGCGAACCGCAGCCGAGGGAGGCGTAGTGGTTAGGA